TTTTACTGTATTAGGGATTGTTGCTTTTTAAAAAAATACCTTGAATATAAGCATTAGAAGCTACAACTTTGTACAAGGAAGAAAATGAATAAAGTTTATGATGTTACTCCTTCCAAGCACCTGATGTCACTCACTCCAGGTACCTGAAAGATGACAGCAGTTCAACTTTCAAAACGGTAATGGACTACTCTCAGTATGAGAGACTTTACATAATATCTGTCAACTTGAAAACTAAATTGATAACTGAAATAAAAAGAAATTTGCTAGAGAAAACACACATAACCTAATTATAGAAAAGGCTCTCCCTTGAAAGCAGGTGTTTCTAAGAACTTCATGAAAGGCTTCCTATCTTGAAGTAAACAAAGCTTCTACTATTACCAAGGGAAATAACGTGTATTAAGAGATGATGGGTTTCTCTTAAAGCAAGGAAGATAAACCCTCCCCTTCAGCAAGTGATGTACTTTGGTAACCTGAACATTCATTTACAGGATAATTTTTCTGCTTACTTAATTGAATAATAAAATCTGGATATGGCATTTGGGAAAACAAGGACAATTTAATAAAAGTCATGACACTGTAGCTCCTCAAACCATTATGCAGCAATTTTATCAATAAATCATCACAATTGAGCCCAGGACTTTAAGCTTAATCAGCAAAATTAGTTGATTTAAAAGAGAAAGGAAATAATTAAAAAATTTGATTTTTATAAATCAGGCACTTCAAACTAAAGTAAAAATTTTTAAGTTTTTTTATTTTTTAAAAAACGTTTTGTTTGCAATCTGTGGTTTGAACTCTTAAGTTCTTTGTAAACTGTTACGTACACAGGGACCTTGGAATTAGTTGGAACTGGCCTACATCCTCTACAGAGAGTGCTTACTTGACTACAGTAGCACAAACACTTTTAAGGCAGTTTCATTTTTCTGATACTGCCAAACCAAGATTCCAATAACATCGTCTGAAATCTCTGCAGAAGACTTTGTAAAAACATGAAACTTGGGCCGGCCCGTGGCTCACTCGGTAGAGTGCGGTGCTAATAACACCAAGGCCCCAGGTTCGGATCCCACATAGGGATGGCCGGTTCGCTCACTGGCTGAGCGTGGTGCTGACAACACCAAGTCAAGGGTTAAGATCCCCTTACCGGTCATCTTTAAAAAAAAAAAAAAAAAAACATGAAACTATTTTTTCTATCATAAAAATATAATCATTATGATACAGTGAAAATATCTAACTGTATTAGCTTAGTATAAAGTAAAAAAAAAAAAAAAGGCATGACTACTGATGGTACTGGTATGAGACTTTATCCCATATTTGACACAGGCTTAACTCCCCATAGATATGATTACAATACCTCAACATATCTATAATCTAAAGTGAAACATCCACAGAGTGTTCCTTAGCTGAACCCAGGGACTGGTTCAATTCCATTTCATTGTTTAATATGAATCATTACTGCTTTTGGCTAATTCGTCTTGCTGAGGACTTTCCAAATAAAAATACCTTATTTGTCACCACATTCTGTCAAGCAAAAATGACACTGAAAGATAAAAATGGATACAGGCAAAATAAGGAAAAACTTAATTTAAATTTTGATGATTTTAGCTTAAAGCCTGTGTAGTATGCTTAGTTATAAATATTCCTCAAAGACACGTTTACCATAATACAACTTTCCTGTTTCCCCAATTTTGTTCCACTGCTTCAGAAAAGACAATCTAGTTTCTATACATTCTTCCTCCGATAACTTTCAAAATCTAAATATATTATAAATAAAGCATCTTATGTCAATAACTTATAGTGAAAACGACATTTATCACCTTTTGGCAACTTTGGGTTTATTTTTTCCAAATGTAAACTTAACTAGTTTTTTTCCCAGTTAGTATTAATACCTAGAAAATTATTCTCCTTCACTTGGATGTATATTTCAGAGTTATAACTTCCTATTTTTCAGATGAGTAAAACAAAGTATCACATGAAATTTTCTAAATCTGTTGTTCAGCAATTCCACAAATCTCAAACTCCTTTCAGTTAAAGTATTAAAATTTTAGCATTATTCATTCATCAAGAATTGTCATTACATTATATAGTAATGTATTTGTCAGGGACTACAAAGCTAAAAAAAAAAAAAGAGCCTAAAGCATGATCTAAGAATCTTCAAAGTGAAAGCCACTAAACTAGAAAATTGGCCTCTATTTAGATAAAGATAAGAGAATAAAACAAGAAGAGATAAAAGACTGAGATATTTAATACAGCTTCCAAAAGCTCCCAGGGAACCATTTATAGATTGAAAGAGTCTGGCTCAGTAGTTAGAAGGTAACTGAGTTACCAATAATTTACACATTAGATGTTCTGACTAGTCCATTTCATCTGGTAAAATATTTTAACAAAATGGAGATTTTTTTTTTTTTTTTTAAACCAAAGGGCATGTGTCATAACAAGGAACCTAACTAATGTAAGCCAGAATGGTTGAAATGTTAAAATCTAAGACTGAATGAGGCTATTTAAACATTTTAGTATATAATGTCTCACTGAAGTTAAGAACTTAAAAAAAATAGCAACGTAATTAAATGTGTAACTAATTACTCCAAGTAAAAATTAGGATTCAAATTCAAATTAAGAAAAAATCCATTTAAATGTATTTGTGCATCCATTTAAACTGAAATAGTTTAAATGCAAAAAAAATAACCATTATCACTCCCTTCATTTCTGAATTAGTAGAATCACTGACATGCTAGATATTTTCACTGTGCGAATACAACCTTTAAAAATGAGAAGAACGACTGTAGAAGCTACAACATCCACTATTGTGGGCAAACATTTTTGTTTACTGCTGAAGTATATCATCACACCTATTTGGTACTTAAAAAATTGAAAATAAGAGCTTTTCTTGTATAAAATGCTTGGTTTTGAAAAGGCAATTAATCTTGCATTCTAAAATTTAAGCCCTTTGAATATCACAAAGTTACCTTCTTGGGCCTTAAGAAAGACAGCTATGCTTAAATATTCTAAACTGAAATATCTTTATGTTTAGTTACACTAGTAATTTCTAATAGATGAGATAATAAAACTGGCTGTTATCTCTTTGCTATGTTTTTCATATATTCTAGTAAAAATTATACATCCAGGCATCCCTCCCTTAAATGAACTTTAAATAAATGTAGGTACTACTATATATACAAATATCACTTGCAGCTGTCTTTCCTGAGTCAGATCCATAAACTAGATATCCTTAAACCATGTGTCAAGAAAAATGTAGAGCCTCACTGAAATAGAAAAAGGCCTTTGTATCATTTTATGTAAAATACTGGTTAGTTACCTGTATTGATTAAGATTTGGGAAGTAGGCTACCAACTAGATATGCATTTTCATAGTATATTCAAATTTCCCATAAAGCTTGGGAATCTGTGCAATTTGTAATTACCAATGAAAATCTAAAGTTTCCATTTGGGAAAGAATACCTAGTGATGGGTAATTATTCATTCTGACACACAGTCAGAATACCTTAGAGTTGCCAAAATTGTGCAGGGCTCTCTTAATGTGGAGTTCTCAGGATAGAGAATGTGCTAAAACACTTTCAATCAATAAATCTGCAACAACTCTTTATTCTTATTTCTTCCTTGCTGTTTTAAAAAAAAAATAACTCTTTGAACTAAGGGCAATGATAATGTCTGCTCATAATTTTACCTATTCTTTTTAAAAATTAACTTTGACATTAATCTATTGCTATGCATAATAGTTTTCAAAGACTAAACACGACATTAAAAATAAAAATACCTGACCATTCTAGGTGAGACACAGCTGCACCATAATAAGTATCAGTCTGTTGCAGAAAGTAATTCAACTCTATCAGTAAAAAAGCATCGATGGTGGAAGCCCACCATAACCTGTACGTGCTGATTTTCCTGAAAGTAATACACCAATGTTTGGGAGCAGATGGATAAAAACAGGTTTATGAGTGAGGGAAAGAGTCAGAAATAAGTTAAGGACAGTAGAACATGGGCAGAGACAGGAAAATGTTAACTTAAATGAATCCTAATGAGTTTACTTTCTCTTTCTTTACATTTGTGAGGGAAAAAATAAATTACAGAATTAGCCAATTAAAAAAACAAAACAGGGCCGGCCCGGTGGCGCACTGGATAGTGCGCCGCTTGGGAAGCGCGGCGGCGCTCCCACCCGAGGGTTCGGATCCCACATACAGACCGGTTCCCGCTCACTGGCTGAGCGAGGCACGGGAGCAACACCGAGGTTTGCAATCCCGTTGCCGGTCCCCGGTCCGGTACGGGGGCAACACTGAGGGTTGTGATCCGTTGCCGGACACGGAAAAAAGACAAAAAGACAAAAAAAAAAAAAAAAACAAATCACTACAATTAAAAAATATATATTTAGTAAGGTTTAACACCTGAAAAAAATTCAGAGCTTGTGTTTTGACTAAAGAACTATATGAGGATACTTCAAAATGTTCATGGAAAAATTTGTATCATTTTTTAATTCTATTTTTCCATGAACTCTTTGAAGCACTCTTGTATTTTGTTTCTTTCTTCTAATCCAATCAGGTGCTTTCACAATTATTAAACTTTGGATATATACATAAAAAAAGTTACTTAAAATTCATTATTCATGGACTCACGATACTTAGGATCAAGGTCAGAGATGCTTTAATGGCACCATATGAAAAGTATACCCTAGTCTAGAGCATCATATAAATTTTAACTGTAAACCAGGAAGTTTCATTTTTTTTAGCAGCAGAAGACGTGATATTTATTAATTTAAGGTTTTTAGTTTTTTCGTTAGTCTTAACAATTTTCCCTTTTTGTCCCCCAGATTTGAGTTACAGATGATCATTTTATAGCCTCTTTTCATCTTTTATATTATTGCTTACATAACTGTGTAAAAACTATACTAACTGCTTTTAATAAACTTGGCAAAGTCTAAAAATATTTTGGAACAAGGACAATGTATAGCTGTCATATGGGATTTTGTAAACAATCTTAGTTGGGTTAAGAAAGTAGCCTCAACACAGAATTCTTTATTTTGTCTAAAACAGCACAGTAAAAACATATCCAATAATACATAAACCTATATATAAAATATAGAATATCTCCACTATTTTTCCTTTATATGGTACCACATCAGTATATGCAAGAGAAAGAAGTACTGTTGGTAGGGCAAGGGGAAAAGTGATTTGAGCAGTGACCTAATTAGCCAGGCATTAACATTCAAAGACCAGGTAAACATAAATTTTAGTCAGAAAAGCAGTATTAAAAGAGTTCCTATGAAGCTGGGATTTATATACTTCATTTTCCATGCCTGCTCATTTCATCTATGGATTGACTATTCTCAATCATGGTTCTTTGCTTCTGAGGTGGTACAGAGAATGCCTATCCCAGTACCAAATTTTCACCAGGAAAAATTGTAATAGAAATGACAAAGCTTAAAAAAAAAAGTATGCTGGACTTCAGAAATATTTATGCTAATAATTTAAAAAAATGCTTACCATAAATACTTCCAAAAACAACAGGCTTTACAAAATACTGTACAACATACTATATATAGATGTAAATATCAGGCCATTTGTCAAATTCTGTTTAGTAATTTGTATCTCATGTACTCTTTCCATCTCAGGAAGGTCAATAATCATCTGATTTCTTCTTTACCAAATGATCTGTTGTTAGCCTACTTTTAACAATGGAAGAAGAAACTGGTATATGTTTTAAGTCAGCTGGTTCTCCTTAAACCTTATAGTTTTTATTATGTTTCAACATCATGTTACTGTGTACTTACAGAAGCAATCTCTCAGTTATGAAAAATAAAACATCAGTTGCAGGGCTTACAAAGTAAAAAGGGAAATTCTTTCCCAAATCCTTTTTTTTGTTTAAAAAATTTAAATTAAATTTAAGTGTACAAGACCAAGCACAGGCACTTTCCAAAAACCAAAAATGAAGCCAAACCGCAAAATTACTCGATAGTTATAGAAGACAGCTCTGATTTTGGGGGGTCATCTCTGGTTGACTCAACACAAGCACTGGTCTTTGGCTGCTCTGGCACTTCTTCCTCCTTTTCTGCTAGCCCACCAAGAGACCCCAGGGGAAAAGTGCTTTCACAATTCTGAGTCGAGGAGACCTGTGAAATTACAGGCATTTGAACAGAGGAGTTGCTTTCAAAACCATGTTCTCCAAGATCATACTGAACAAGGGTTTCTTCTTGCTCCTGGTTTAAGTAGTCCGGTACTAGGAAATCACTAGATAAGAGGCAAAGGACGAAATATGGAGTTAATTTTCAAACTGGTAACAGATAAGCTACAATTAAACAGATCTGAGTTGTAAAACATGATTGGGACTTTTCATTTTACTAATTCTTCAATGAAGAATTCAACGAAGAACTCAGGAACTTTCAATTTATAAACTTTCCCAAATATCAACCAAAGCAATCCATTATATCCAAAGTATATCAACTCTCCCTACCACCAAAAAATCAGATTAATTATCACTTGCACTATCACTCTGGACACCTAAAACAGCCTTTCTTGTTTTAAGTAGACGAGTTTCTATGTACAAAACGAATATAAGAAGCAAGCTCACTTAAGCAAAGATCATCTGAATAACTCAAGTGCTTAACTTTTCTAGGATTATACACTGAGTAACTCAAGTGCTTAACTTTTCTAGGATTATACACTGAGTAAGAGGTATATAAACCTAGCTTTGTATTACTAACTGGATATAAGTTAATTAAGAAACTAAAGTCATTATGCATAAATGACCTTTTGCTACTATATACTATATTATACTATACCTACTATATAAAGTTGAGAAATGCAGAAAATAATTTATGTGTATCCTACTAATCAATCTGGTATATGAAAACAATAATAAATCACCTTTGAATTAGACTTTGGCAATGAATGCCTTGTGATTGGTTACATGTTAATCCTCAAAAAATATTTAATTATGATCCCCACAGGAAATATGAACAAAATATACCAAAAATTTAGTAACAGTGAATATTTTCCCCAAGTAGAGAGATCACAGAAAGATTTTAAATTTCTTCTTTATACTTTTGTATCTTTTCTAAGTTTTCTACTACATGCATTTTTGGGTAGTTAAAACAATAAACATTATAAAATAAATCTCAGACACTATTTAAATCTTTATTACTGAACTAAAAAGTTAATTTTACTAGGACTATCAATAACTAATATACCTGACAAAATTATTTTATAATTTGATTGCTCAGTATTAATAAGAAATTAAAATCTGCTCATATGCAAAGCAGTTTAAAATGTCCTATATTTTCTAAAAAGTCTTCAGGTAGGGGCCGGCCCGGTGGCGCACTGCTATAGTGCACCGCTTGGGAAGCGCGGCAGCGCTCCCGCCGAGGGTTCGGATCCCACATACAGATCGGTTCCCGCTCACTGGCTGAGCGAGGCGCGGGAGCAACACCGAGGGCTGCGATCCCGTTGCCGGTCCCGGTCCCGTACGGGGGCGACACTGAGGGTTGCGATCCGTTGCCGGACACGGAAAAAGACAAAATAAAAAAAAAAATAAATAAAGTCTTCAGGTATTAAACAAGAGGAATGGAAGGCTCTGTACAGGGAAGACAGAAAACAGGAGTGGTAACCTGGAACACAATTTTTGTTCTGAACAAACTATGTTTAATATGATACGTATAATCTAGGTTTATTATTATGACAACCACACATTCAGAATTAGAAATGAAAGGGCCGAGCCCGTGGCACACTCGGGAGGGTGCGGCGCTGGTAGCGCGGCAGCGCTCCCGGCACGGGTTCGGATCCTATATAGGGATGACCAGTGCGCTCACAGCGCTCACTGGCTGAGCGCGTTTAAAAAGCTTACATTTTGTCTTTCTCTAAGTTTCAAGCTTCTTCATCTAAAGTGACATGCTCAATCAACAGCAGTTAGTGGCTGAGCTAGAACTAGAACCTGATTTCTGTGGATACCCTATAAATCAGAAAGGTAACTCTACTTTATATTAGGAATGTTAAAAGCATGGAGCACTAAACTGAAAGAGAATAGGAAAGACTTCATTTGATCTAAACAATCATATCCATTATAGTTGCCGTTGAACTTTCTTTATCAGTAAACGAATATTCCTTTATAGAGAATTTAAAAAAGAGAGAAGTGGTGAAAGATTTTATTAAAATCCAGAGTCTGAAGTAATCTAATATTGCTAAGTATCATCTGACATGGTAAATTTTCCAATAAGATCTTATTTATGACCCACTTCAGAATTACTCTAACCTAATATTTTTCAAAAAATTAAGAGGATGAGTAGTCTACTTCTGTAGGAAAATATTTTTAATACCAACTATAAAATATTTATAATTTTATGTGCTTAGAAGATTCAGCAAAATTTTATCAGATCAGAAGATCAGACAGTGGGAATTTAAAATGAATGGGATTGATCAGCTGGCAACCTCATTAAAAAACTCAGCAGGCTGCCCTAAAAGCAGGAAAAGAGAGTTCAGAAAGCAGTTTTCCTGGTTGGGTTTTCGTTGTGCACCTCACCTGCTCTGGAAGTAGTTTGCTAGCTCTGATGCTTCATGGTTCAGACTCCTCAGGTGCACGATTAAATTTCCAGAGTTGGTGAACATGGCGCCACATGTTTTGCACTCGTAAATCCGAGGCTTGCGGATAATGTGCCGGGAAACCCTCATGTGGTGTTTATATTCCCCGAAGGAAGTGAAAGTAGCACTACATATCTGGCACCGGAAACAGCGTTTACCTTCATGCTTTAGGCGATGCATCTTTAGCGAGTAAGCCCTGGTGAACTTTTTCCCACAGCGGTCACACTGAAATGGTTTAATTCCTATAAAATAAGACAAAACAAAATAAACTAAAAGGTCATAAAACCTCACAGATTTCTGAACTATAATTTTGTAGCAACAGATAATCTGAAAGACAAAAATTACCAGCAAAAAAAAATATATATATATATTTTTACTGAAGCATAATTGGTTGTACATATCTGTGGGGTACAGCATTGATTATCAATACCTGTGTGCAGTATGTGATGCTCAAATCAGCATAATTAGTATATTCAATTTTACACACTGTAATCATTTTTTGTGACCCTTTATCAATTTCTTGCTACCCCTCCCGCAACAGGACTGCTGGTCTCAGTTCTGTTATCTCCTCAAAAACATATTATAATTCACTATCTCAAAAAGGTGCAGAATACGAATATGTGAAAAAGTTGATTTTTCAATATTCTTCTAAATCATCTATATTACAGATTTCAAAACACAATTTAACCACAGTATTTAGAACCAAAATCCCCATGTAACTGCATTTATTATTTCATTTCATTAAAGCAGAAAGGTTTATATTAAAAAGATTAAAAAATGATCAGTACCTACTCTCCACTCCCTATCTCAGAAAGAAATAAGAAGAAAAAAGGAAAATTCTAGTATCTCTGGATGTAATGATCATAAAAGAATCATCATTTGATGAACTGGCTTTTTGGGTATTTAATGTAATATTGACAATTTAATAAATGAATTATAGAGTGTATTAATGATCTCCTCAAATTTATTATCACTGTTTTAGAAAAAACCAAACTAAAAAAACACTTCAAAACACAATCTGTGAATTTAGAAAGTCACAGGGAATTGGTATTAAGACAGGACTACAGACCTATCTACAAAGAGGAGTGAGTTACTAACATAGCTGAAAACAGCAGCAAAGATCCTTTAGCCTTCAGAAGTCAGTGTTTTACCCACAAGTATCCTGTTGCTCTTCTGTGATCACTGAACTTAAGTTTCAAATCCGTTCTACATATTTATCCAAAATCTCTCTTATACTAAAAATACTACAAAGCTGACTAATCAGGGTACAGAGAGATTTAGGATTGTACAATTAAAATCAAATTAATAATAAAATATTAAATTTTAAAAAACACTCTGGAAATAATTTCAAACTTACAGAGAAGTCACAAAAATAATAGTACAAAGAACACCCATATATATCCTTTTGGCCCCATTTGCTTTGCCATCTGTTTGTGCTTCCGTATTGTACATATACGCACATACCTAATATATCTAATATCTTTTTATTTACATATTACAGATTACATATAACCTCTAAGTTTTAATACTTATGCCTGTAACAGATGCATTAAGGAAATAGCTTTCTGACACTGTACCATTTCAGCAAGACACTAATCTGTTCTCATTTGACTTCCAAGAGGTTTTTTTTTTTTTAATAACTCGAAAGCACCTGTTTTCTACTTCAACTGGTATTCCAAAATAAAATGTTTTTTTTTTTTTCCTTTTTGTCTTTTTTCGTGACCGGCAACGGATCGCAACCCTCAGTGTCGCGCCCGTACGAGACCGGGACCGGCAACGGGATCGCAACCCTCGGTGTCGCGCCCGCACCTCGCTCAGCCAGTGAGCGGCCGGTCTGTATGTGGGATCCGAACCCTCAGCGGGAGCGCCACCGCGCTCCCAAGCAGCGCACTGTAGCAGTGTGCCACCGGGCCAGCCCCAAAATAAAATGTTTTAAAGTGCTCACTTCTGCAACAAAAGGGAAGATGACATTACCTGAGTGGATGAGCATGTGCTGTTTTAGGTTCTGAATACGGGTGAATCGTACCCCACAGGTTGGACATTGAAACGGTCTGTCTGGACCATTTGGGCTTGGTCGTTCTGTACTGCTGGTAGAAGGAGCAATGTAGAGTTGGTAGGGATACTGAACATTTTCCAGTCTAAAAAAACAGACCAAAGAAGGCAACCAGGCTCTGATTTTTAAGTTGAATAAACATTTCTACGGGTCAACTTTAAATGAACAAAAGAAAAACACTTCAAGATTTTTTGAAACAGTTTAACTGTTAGATTACAAGTTTCGCTTACAACAATATGAAAAACAATGTTATTGTCCAGAGTGTCCAGTATCTTAAATTAAGCATTACACACAACCACAGAAAATAAATTATTTTACCTTAGATATCCTTAATCTCTCTAATCTTTTCCTTCCTCCTACTGCTATAATTTAGGCCCTCATCAATACAGGCCTGAATTAACAACCCTCTCTCTTTAGCTCCCCACTTGTCTAATGCATCCTTCTCACTGTATCACACTGATCTCTGATTAAATCAGTCCTCAGTTTAAAATCCTGCAATGGCTGTTAACTCCAGAATAAGTCCAAATCCCTTTACAAGGCATTCAAGACTGACGATCTGAGCCCTGTGTACTTTTCCAGCCTCATTTCTTGTCATATTGCCCAAACATACCCCATACCAAAAATTCCTCCAATGTGCCATAATGTTTCTCAATGCTGTGCTTTTGCACAGATAACTTTCTCTATTTGCCTACCTTCTTTGCCTAGATAATGACTACTCATTTTGTAAAATTAACTAAGAAGTCACATCCTCCTCTTGGAAGCCTTCTATGATTTATCAGTACTTAAGTAGGTACTCTTCTATGCAGAGCAACAGAAATCTCTGCAGACCACTTATGATTAGGTCTACTTGTCTATCTCCAACCTCTTTCTCCCTCAACACTGACCGAGCTCCTTGAGAAAAAGGGCTACACATCTCATCTCTATATCCCTGCTGCTCAGCACAGTATCTAATATAGAACTAGTGACCTGATTAAACTTTGAAATTAAGGAATCTAGGTACATTTCTGCTTGTTTATGCTTTCATTAATTCGTACAAATGATTTTGGTTCATAATCTCCTCTACTAGGTTTAGCTATTCAAGAATAATAATCCTTGTCTGAATCCCCTGAATCCTTCAAGTTTTCAACAAATGCAGTTTTTAGGATTATCCTAGAGTCTGAGTAGGAATTCAATCATTCAGTGGAGTCTATATTCAGTAGTGAGAGACAGGCAATAAGTGATCAAGAAAATTATCAGAGCAAAGAATTAAAATAGGGAGATCCAGTAGTGATTGGGTGCTGCTTTAGACTGGTCGTCAGGAAAGGCCTCTTTGAGAACAGACACTGAGACAGTGATCTGAAGGTAGGAAAGAGCCAACAAGAAAATCAGGAAAGAAAGCATTCCAGGTAGAGTAAAGACCCTAAAGTGGCAGAAAGTTCCAAAAGCAGCAACAAATATGGAGTATTACAGGAACTCAAAGAAGGTCAATGTGGTAAGAATGTAGTATTGCAAGAAAGAGAATAGTCTGAAGGGAGTTAGGCAGAAGTCATATTACATAGGGTTTAAAAAGGCACAGCAAGGAGTTTGTATTTTAAATAGGAATGAAAAATTTAAGAATCTATAGCTTTGGGGCTGGCCCATTAGCTCAGCTGGTTAGAGCACAGTGTTGTAACACCAAGATCAAGGGTCTGGATTCCTCTACTGGCAAGCCACAAAAAAAAAAAAAAGAAAGAAAAAAAAAGAAAAGAATCTATAGCTTAAAACAGTGACATAATTTGACTTAACTAAAAAAGGAAAAAAGGTAATAAGGTAATGCTAGCTGCTACGTGGAGAATGGATCAGAGCAGGGTTAGAATGAAATCAGGGGCCAGTTTGACGACTACTGCAGTAGTTAAGGTAAAAGATGGTGGTGACAATACTAGGGTGGCTATAGCACAGACAGGGGAAAAGTGAACAGATTAGGTATATACTTTGGGGGTAGAGTTGTCAGGGAGGGGAAAATGGGGAGTGGTTAGGTAAAGAAAGATCAAGAATAATTCTCAGAGCTTTCTCTTGAGAAGCTGGGGAATGATGATGATGTTTACTAAAAAGAGAAAAGTAGTGGTGAAGCAGAATTTCGCTGAGTAGTTAGAAATCAAGAGTTCTATCTTGGTCTTGTTAGGTCTGAAATGACTCATATCTATGTGGAAATATCAAGTAGGAAGGGTCAAAGGGAAGATGACAACTTGGGAATTATGGGTGTATAAATCAGGATTTGGCAAACTTTTTTTTACAACAGTCCAGACAGTAAATATTTTGGCTTTGCATGCCATGTGGTCTGTTTTAACCACTCAGCCCTGCCATCCACAAACGAGAGGTAAACCAATGAGCATGGGTGTGTTCCAATAACACTTGATTTACAAATAAAGATGGTGGGATGGAACTGGCTTGTGGTCTGTAGTCTGCCAACCACTGATACTATTTAAAGCAATGGGACTAGGTAGTTTTCAAAATGCCAAAACAACAACAACAACAACAAAAAAAAAACCTCTCATATAGGTGGTCTAATTTATGTGATGAAGCTACCTCATTACTCTGAAAACATATTAAAGTGAAGTCCCAATAGATTTCTTATACAATTCTGAGATAAAATGCTTGAATTTAAAGTTGTAAATACAACCCTTACAAGAAAATTGCATACTATGTTAGTACTAACCGATCATCATCTTCTGCATGAGCATTAGTGCTAGAAGTACTTTGAAGCGTAGGTAACCCCTCAGTTACACCTTCATCTACCGATCCTGTGTATAAGAGAAAGAAAAGAGGACAATCGTCAATACTTTGGTGTAAATAAACCAAGATATTAACTGTGAGCTACATATCTAGGCCTCTAGTATATATTATCTAGTTCATATCCTGAATTATTAGTCAAAAGTAGTAATGTTCTATATTTTACTTTTGCTTTAATTAAATGTTTATATGATTTAAAAGGAAATCATGTGTAAGACAACAGCCTTGTATTACTGTTTAAATTCTTTTAGGAATATTTCTTTGATACAAATTTCAGAAAACAAGCAGAGCAATTCAAATGCAAATCAACAAAAATCCACATAAAATTAATTAACAACCATTTAAGGAAGCACTGACAATTTTTACTTTTAAAACTTATTGTACAACATTTACACAGAATTTAAAAAAATAAATAGAACACCTGGGCAATCTCCACATAAGTCAAATGAAAACACTGCCAGCATCCTAGAAGTCCCCATTCACCTTTCCCTGATCATAAACTTCTCCCTCCTCCAAGTGTTTTTTATGGTTTTCATCCCTCCCCACTCCCCTTTTAAAAGTAATGTTATCTCGAATACATGTACCCATAAACTAGGAGTAGGAACACAGCCATGGCTAGTCTAGGGCTGCTTTTGCACTATAGTGGCAGAGCTGAGTAGCTTAGGTTGCAACAGAGGCCGTGTGGCAGTTAAGTCTAAAATATTTACTATCTGGCCTTTAACGGAAAGTATGCAAAGCCTCACCATAAACAATACAGTTTAGTGTTGTCTGGTTGTAAACCTTACATAAGTTAAGTCATACTGTACGTATTCTTATGTCTTCTTGCTTCTTTCCTTCAACACTGTGGACTCGTTCATGTTGTTACATATAACTGAAGATTATTTTCATTACTGTATAATATTCATAATCTATACATTTCACTCTTGATAGTTTCAGGGTATTATGAACAATGCTTCTGTGAATATTCTTGTACAAATAACTTAATGCACATGTACATGCTTTTCTCTAAGGAATATACTTAGGAATCAAATTGCCAGATTGTCAAATATGGATAGCTTCAACTTTATTAGAAAATGCTGAACTCTGGCTTTCTGGTTAGCTCATTTGGTTAGAGCACAGTGTTGATAACACCAAGGTCAAGGGTTCAGATCCCCATATTGGCCAGCTGCCAAAACAAAATAAGAAAATGCTGAACTCTTTTCCTGAGTGATGGTGCTAAATCTGCATGACTACCAGAAATGTCTAAGAGCTGTGTGTTCCACATCCTCACCAACACTTCGTATTGTTGAATTCTTAAATTACTGCTCATCTGGTGGGTGTGTAGCAATATTTCATTGTGGTTTGAGTTTCATTTCCCTTGTTACCAATGAGGATGAAACACTACTTCATATATTTGCTGAAACTTCTCTCTTGTGAAATGTCTGTTCAAGTCTTGTTATTGAGTTGTCAGCCTTTTCAAAGAGTTCTTTTCATATTTCAGATACAAGACCTTTGTCAGTGATACATGCTAAAAATCTTTCCTCCTTCCATGTCTTGCCTTTTTACTCTTTTTATGGTTTCTTTCGCTGACCAAAAGTTTTAATTTAATTAAATTTATTAATCTTTTCCTTTATGGTTATGGCTTTTTTGTCTTTTAGACATCTTTTCTTATCTCAGATTATCATATAAAAAGATTTATGTTTTGTCTTTGTGGTTTTTTCTTTAGGTCTTTAATCCACCTGGAGTTGATTTTGTGACAAACACATTTATTGAAAAGTCTTTTTTCTTTTCTGCTCTACAATATCTCTGTCATATATCAAGAATGCATAAACGCATGGGTCTGTTTCCAGGTTTTCTATTAACTCCATTTGCTTGTCTGTCCTTTCATTAATGCCAATCCGTAGATACCACAGCTTTATAATTAGTCTTGATATCAAGGAGAGCAAGTCATCTTTCTCACCTTGTTCATTTGCTTCCTGAACATTGTGGCCATTCTTGGCCCTTTGCCTTTCTATATACATTTTAGAATCAGCTTGTTGAATAAAAGTTGGGAAATTACATGACATTGTCTTATTCTTTTTTAATGGTTACCTTAGAAATTAGACATACTTATCAAAGCCTAAAGTTAATCAAAATCTTTACTTTCTCCTGGATAAAAAAAAATTTCAGAAGCTTTATTTCTTACCCACTCCCATCCTGCAACTTCTACATCATTATTGTGCTACATTTTACTCCTTTGTTCTGAGTAAGCCGGACATTACTTTCACACACACAGTTGAACACTTACATTTGCTCACGTATTCAGCTCTTCTCTTACTCTTCATTCATTCCACCTGTCTGTGCTCATTTTACTTCTGCCTGAAATCCATCCTTAAGAAAATCTTTAGTGATATGCTGATGATTTGTTTGAAAATACTTTATTTCACCTTCATTCATAAAATATATTTTCACTGTGTGCAGATATCTAAATTGGCAGTTCCCCCCTCCGCCCAGGACACTGAGGACATCATCCACAAGATTCCTGACCTTGTTAAAAGTCAGCTATTCTTTGTAATCTGCATTTTTTTTTGTTTTTTATTATCTGAATTTTCTCCATGATGTGTCTAGGTTTGTGCTTCTTTTTATTTTTCCCGTTTGGGATATGCTGGCTTCTTAGACTATGGTGTCTCTCATCAATTCTGGAAAATTCTCAGCCATTCTCTCTTCTCCTTTTAGGACTTCCATCAAACCTACATTTGTATCTTCCACGCCCTTCTCTTCTCTACTCTAGTCTCCACCATTGTTTCTTTCTCAGTGCAGCATTCAGGTAATTTGTTCTAATTCATCTTCTGATTCCTCAAGTCTCTCTTCTGCTAAGTCCAATCTGCTGTCAAAATGTTCACTGAGATTTTTATTTATTTATTTAATTCCCTAAAAGTCCAACTTGGTTTCTTTTCTCAAATCTGCTATGTCAGTTTTACAGTTTACTGTTCTTTGCAATTATTGTTCAAGTTTACTTCATTAAACATAGTAGGCCTATTTGTTTTATTTCTGTCTAAAATCTATGCCAATTAGCTATGTCAATTTATTTGGTTTTTTTTCTCTGTGTTATTTTTCTCTCTGCCTTGTTTCCTTGTGTGCCCTGGTTACTTTTGACAGTGGTTACCTGCCCTTGAAAATTATCTGTAAGGGGACTGATTTGCTGAGGTTAAGATGAATACACACTATTCGAGAGAAGCTTTGTTTGCTTCTGCTAGGTTCCTGGGGAACACTACCTAAAATAAATTCACTGCTTGAGATCCTTGGCCTACCCACACTAGGTATAACCAGGATGTAAATCTGGTTTAAGTGTGCTAGTTGGTAACCACACTTTTCAGGGATGTGTCTTCCTCCCTTTTTCCTTTTCATTTTCTAGTCTGCCCACCGCCAAGGCAGCTTTTTCTACAGTCCCCTGGAGTTTGGAGGATGGGAAGCTTTAGTTCTAGAGGAACTGTCATTCAGGGTCCCTACTTAATTTGTGGAGCAACTTTTTTAAGACTTCATAACTTTCACAAGCTCTGGGTCTTGACTTCTGTTTCTTTCACTCTTTGAGTTGTGAACCAAAGCCCATTTGCCTTTTGGCAAGTGTCGTAAACACAAAACTGGCTTTAATGCTGATAATCTACTTACCTCTCTCTGTCAGGCTTTCCCCCCAAATTTACCCTGGCAGTTCCTTGCCCATCTTTTCAACTTTTCAAATACTTTAAAGGTGACTTTTAAAAAATCTAGAATGTGTTGCTTGCAGTGGGACAGTGTGGATCTAAACAACCTAGCCTAGTCTCATCAAATAATAAACTGCCAATTTCTTTACTGTATGTAAATAAGCTGTTTTGCACCAAATGAACAAATCTGAGCTTCTGAAATAGTCTAGTTCATTAATAGCAAACAAGATTTTGATTACAATATTTTAACGAAAGTTAAAAAGTGTATTAATTGTAACAGTTTGTACAATACCATAAACATGTGAACATTTAATAAATATTATCTATTAATAGACAGATAGGATGAAGTTTCTTCCTGACAAAAGCTGAGAACCCAGTGCTTCCGTTTTCCCCTGTGCAACACCTAAATTACCTGGCATTATTAGGAAACAAGCAAATTTTCCACTTAAATTTTGCAAAAAACTAACCTATCCCCTTTCAAGGCATTCAAATGTACTCATTTAATCATTTGTGCTAGAAAATTTAGACAGTTTAATATTTTGCCTTGACTTCTTAAATAAAAAATACTAAATATATTTTTTGTTTCTTGACAACTCACAGCAACCATCAGGAACACCAATTATTACACTGTGGTGTATTACACTGACATACTCTACAGCTTTTGAAAGTAGACAGGACTATGTGCATTTACATTCATCCCCAATGGCACCTCCATTCTTCCTGATCCCCCATCCCACCCTTGCTGCTGTGTGTTTAGCATTTCTGTGCATGCCTTTTCTTTTTCTCTTTCCCTTATTACCAAATGACATGCTTTCCCCCTATGTCTACTTATCCCTTATCTTTTTGATTTCTTTTTAATCCAGATGTAGGATGAAGAACCAGATAATGCTTCATTTTATTTAACAAAGAACTATTCCTCTGTTAATATCTTCCCATTCTCACTTTTTCCTTAGAGAAGAAAAAGAAAAAGAAAAGGGAACCAAATACTAACGTTTCAATCTGTCCTAGGATATAAACTGGAAAAATCCCAATATTTGGACCTGGTCACCATGGACATAAATATCTATCTACCTGTTGGTATTCTAAGCTTATTCCAAGCACAGACAATATTAAAAGTTTACAGGCAAAGCCTTGCAAAAAACATCTGGAAGTGTGATAAGGGCAGGCCAGGAAGACCGATCTCATTGACATTTGCTTCTCACCATCAGGCAAGCTATAGTACTTTTAGGAGGGGGTGGGGTCTTGGTGAGGTGGAAACAGAAAAACCCTTTGCCTTGGACTGATTCTAGTATTGTCAAAGGTTTGTTTAAAAAGCTGATCAAAAAGAACTAAAATGGAGTACAAGATACATC